TGTATGTTATTTGCTAACGCATTACTAATTACAAGAGTCATAACAAGTGATACCCTTTGGCTGGGTCATTTCATTTTATTTACTTGGTGTGACGTACGCTGTTATGCGGCTACTATTGCAGAGTGTAACAGAGTGATAGCCTCTTCTGCTTTGAATGGCTGGCTGCAGTGCCATTTTGACTACACAGTGGCGGCGTTGACAACGGTATATATTATTAGCTAGCACAGATGCACTGAGCTACTATTTACAGAGTTAACTGAATACTATTCTATTTGCACAGTAATGACATTATGACAACTGGTGTATATAGTATTGTAGCCTGAATGTTGACTTCTGTTACAGTGTGCATTGTGATAACTGAATTAGTAATATAACAGCGCACAGTACTGACTACTATTTACAGTGTGTGACGACGACAGCGGTGTATAACTGGCTAGATACTTGACTATATTTACAATGGTGATTTTATTTCTTACAATAGTAATGACGGTTTAGCGATGACTACTGATGTACATAACTTCTTTATTGAATGCGTACTATTTACAGGTGTGTGACATTGGCGACAGCTGGGTGTATGTCAGCCCTGCTTTAGTTCTGAGCTACTATTTTACAGAGGTGTAACCATTGATATATAGCTGCTTTGGAATGCTGACTACTATTTACACCCAGAGTGTAAGTGATACCTGTATTCTTTGGAATGCCTATTTACAGTGTGACATTGGCGACAACTAGTTATATTATTGCAAAGCCTAGATTCGACTACTATTTTTAGAGTGTATAGAAACAAATTATGCATAACAGCTGGAATGCATTACTATTTACAGAGTGTAAGAAACATGATATATGAGCTAGCACAGATGCATTACTCGCTACAGTGTATTGTGACAGCTGGTTGTATATTGTAGCACAAGATGCCTGACTATATTTACAAGGTGTAACAAATTATATATCACTAAAATTTTGAATCTGGCTTCACTATTTACAGAGTGTAAGTGATATATATAATGCTTTGAATGCGGCCTACTATTTACAGTGTGTGACGATTTGCGACAACACAGTGTATATCATTATGCTTTGAATGCCTGACCTGTTACAGTGTGTGACGTTGTGACAACTGGTGTATAATATTAGCGTGCCATTTGGTGGCATTACTAAATCTTTGGGTATATATAACCATGGCACATATGCGGCTACTAATTTACAGTGTAGTGACTGACTACCTTGAACCAAAATGGATGCTTTTAAGACACATAAAAGTACAATGTGGACACTGATGATTACCAGGAGTGTTTTGTAACATTGCTTGGGATGAAAGAAAGTTGGATGTCAATGTTTTTTTTTCATAGATTCTTCATCGGGTACAAACAAGTTTATTTCTATGTTTTCTACATTGTGAGACTATACCAGCAGAAATCCTACAGGTAAACTATGACAGTTCAGTTTCTTCATGGTTTTACGGTTGTGAGCGTAAATAAAGTAGCAATGAATAAAGTATTTTAATACTTCTTTAAATTACTGTTTTGCCTCAATTTTGGTAAACGAAACTCCCATTGTACTGTAGGCTATGGAAATCATTTTGCAGAGGATGCCTCAGCAAGCATGGGACCCTTCTGTATACATGGTATTCTCAACACATGTAAGCAACAAAAATTATTATCAAAGAATGACAATTTAGGCACCCTCCTGAAAAAACATGTTGAAAGGAACGGCTGTAAATGGGAATATTGCTGATGGTCTTTTTGTTGTGATTATCGTTGTTCACATCACACTTATTGTAGTATTTAACGGTATGGTTCATCTTTGAATATAACCATTACGACTTGCCAAAAGAAGATAAACTGGGAAAAATGGCAAACTGGCGGCCAATCATGCAGGCACTATGAAGCGCACTTCCTGTAGATCATGTAGTATGGGCAATTTCCAGTAGGCGAGGGCTAGTTACAATGGGAGGTTACAGTTTTGGCCTGCAAGCGGCAGTGCAAGCTCCTATGTTTGTTACTGTCAAGCACCAGGCAAAGCATTATTGAAGAAACAAATGAAACATAGTGATGAAACAGATAATCAAAGAAAGCGAAAGAAGTGATTGCACTCTGAGCTGTTTATGCATCTAAATGCATTGTGCATACTTTTAAATAGTCCTGTAGAGAAAGAAACATGAGTTAAAGCATAACAGGAAATAAAATGGCAAAATAGTTAATATGTAATATATGTATGGCTTAAGAGAAAATTAGCACAAAGCAGCAGTAAAAACTAGCTAAAATATATACATTTCTGATATCATAAAACACCTGTTTTAAATTAAATGAGAAAGTACATATGTCAAATCAAAATAATCTCTGCATGAAATATCATGTAAATGGGTTGCTGTAGTCATGCATTAAATCATGAAATATGAAAATATATAATGTCAAGTTCATTTCGAATAGTTAAATCATTTTAAAGTCTGTGGGACAAAATAATTATGATGTCTCTAATGGTCGTTCTTCGGTGTCAGTTTCAACAGAATCATATCTCACTCTATGAAAATCAGATGCTTTGTTTGGCCCAATGTTCATGTTGTGCTTCAGAACCTACAGAGTTACCCTTCAGTAAATGCTGAGGTACAGTCAATCATTGCCAGGTTTACAGTCATGCAGGCACATCAGGCACAGCTATTTACAAAGGCCTATTTTGGCAAATGCCTGTATTAGTGGGTTGCTCGTTTGCTCAAGGGTTCTTACTCTGGGTTTGTGTATCATTGCAAGGAACTGGGCCAGGAGTTTCAGTGGTGGTGTTCGAATGTGCATCGATGTAGCAAGGTATGTAACGAAAACCTGTATCATGTGAGTAAATATTGTAACTGTTTTCTTGAGCAAAGGTTCACAGATTCAGTAAAGGAAGATTAAAACTAATCCATCAATTTCATACGAAATCAGCGATAATTCCTTGAAAGTGTTAAAAGAAATCCATATTCCCACCCATGGACGTCAATATGAAGCCCACATGGGAGAGGGTTATTTTGATTTAGACTTGAGTACAATACATTATCCCATTGAAGCTGGGATCAGCATCGGCTGCATCTCAGCCCTCGCCCGGCTAGGTCTCCTGCAGCAGCAGCCCGTGTGTTGGGAGTGTGCACTTGAGTACTGGTGAGCCAGAGTGAGTATAACCCTCTATCCAAAGGTCTGATCAAGTGCTGCTTGATCGGGTTGCTGGGCCTTCATCAATGCAGTGACCCTGTCCAGGTGACCTTACCTTAAATCTTTCAGGCTGATAGAATTACATGGCCAGCAATCAGCTGCCAAAATGTCCATTAGTCAAGATGCGGTCCGAGCACTCTGTGGAAACTGAAGGGACCCTATGTGTTGTATGCGGAAATGGCCCCTCTCCCGTTAACCCCATAGAGTCGGGGTTTGGAGTTTCTGTGGGGCAGTCTGGGTTGCAGCAAGCCGGGGTTTCCTTACATTCAGTAATTCACCCATATCACTTGGCGGTATCTGGTCTGGTTTAAATCCATTTTGGGCTGGTAGCATTTTCGAAGTTATGGCCTGTTCATCTAGCTGGGATTTTGGCATATTTCATACACTGCCACAATAATATATTTAAAGTATCATCACTTTTGAGGAGTTATCCGAGGTTTCCTACCTAGCGCATGTTGACTGAAGGAGGAGAAATGCTTAGGGGACAGAGCTTTTACTTTTACACAGGATTTGAAACATCAAAGAGTTCAACACAACAATGTTTGACCGGAAAAGCTTTATGCAAAGCTGGGACTCAAAACAATAGCTGGACTTTCACCGCATCCACATCGTTTTGCGCTCAAGTAGGAACTTAAGTGTTTATATTGCAAACCTCAAAAAAAATATAACAAAATAATTTAACATGCATTGTTTCTGAATGTACCATAATAACGCGAGGACTGTCTTATAAGTTTCTAGGACTTTACGAGCTCAAGATAATGAATCTTCTGTTGATTTCGGCTTGCAGACATTCAGTTCACTGACATTGTGACTAACATACCCTCACCATGGACTTTTGGACTTGGTCCATCAGAGTTCATCAGCGGTGCAGCCACACAGCAAGAGACAAGGAGAAACTCCAGCTTGTCGGACTTTTCTCGGCAGAGACTCAAGTAGATTTGTTCTTTCTTCCTCCACGAGATCACTTTGTGTTACTATCAGGTGCTGAATGGTTCTCACAAGCATCTAAATAACTAACGTGCAGTTCAGATTAAGGTGAATATAAACTTTAGCAAAAATAAGAGTCTGAAAATAGGTATAAATAATTCAATTCAATTTCGAATTTCTTTATCATGCAAAAGTAAATTCGACATACTACTTTGAATGAAATCTTTGCAGATATTTATATTCAAGTAGCAGCATCACATCAGTTTGAGTGTATCAAATTCCCGTCACATTAAGGACTTATACATGCCATGATGGAAATGTGAGACACCTGGTGGTGTTCAGCAGTATGCACGACTGCAGGATATGGTAAAATACAGTGATTAATTTCTTTGAACTCTAAAACCCTTTCGCCTGAAATACGCACATAAACTCAATGCAATTGAATTTAATTTGTTTCAAAATGTAAGATGCTGAGAGAAATAAAGAGAAAGGCCATTTTCCGTTGTTCTTTTCAAGAAACTACGAATTTTAGGTTCTATGGATCATAGCAAGGTCGTACAAGGGACTGAGTAAAGAGTTGTCGGGTTAAACAACTTTGTTTGAAATTGTATGTGTTTATTGTAACAGACTTTAATCGGTAGCCCCATAACATTAATCACTGAACATGCTGCACCAGTTCTCTACCCTATACATAAAAATGTTTGGTGATGCACTCGTGGGACTTGTATATACCATCTTATGTTTGTTTCGTTGAATATTTTAGAAGTTCCTGCTTAAATTTCTGGGGTTCAGAAATACCTGCAATGTCACTAATACACATCATGTTTTAATCAATCTATGACATATCATCTTTGACCGCGAGTATTCTTAACATAATTAGTGATGTTTGTGCACCTTCTGGCTTATTGTATGTGGTACGAGCACAGCTGTCGCAAAATCTGCGTGACTTGTCAGGTTCTCCTCCCAAAGTCTTTAGAGGAAGCTGAACGTGCCAGTTGTTGATAAATTCACAGACATCTGGCAGGCTGGACTTTGTTCTGGGGCTTCAATTTAGGCTTGAAGCTGCGCCGAGACAATGGCTCCTAAGAAATTTAAGAACATGTTTGCTTGCTGAATGGTCCAGTAGAGAACTTATATCCTGAGGAATTATTTCATGCCATAAAACTTATCAGCTTGGCGGTGAAGGTTTCAGCGCTGTCAGCAGACTAGGTATCTATATATACACGTAAAAGATACAGCATTTAGAAGGTTTACAGAAGAAAACATTTTTATTCAGTGAAGGTTTACGCGCCACAACAAATCTTTAAATTCATTTCTGGAGAAAATTTGATGTCTTTCTTTTATGAAGAGGCCAATGTCTTGAGTACACCTGTGATTTCCCATACTGGAAGTGTCGCCCGAACACTTGCACATTTTCCTGAATCTGCCCTGCCTTCGAACATGAGTCAATCTGGGAGAAAGCTTGGTAGAAATTGCATATCAAAGGATGTCAGGTGGGCAGGACATGAGAGTGTAACCTATCAATGCATTTTGTTTAAATCTCCTTTTCTACATCCATACTATTCGAAATCATTATCACTTTGCCTCTTTTCAAATTTATGACGCTTCTGCTCCACTCTGGACTTGGCCTGTATTGCTTGGCTTCTTTGAGCTGATACTCAAATCCTTCAAGTCCTCCAGTAATTGGTACCTTTCACAGCTCAAAGTGTTACAATTTGGCCAGGATAAGGGGCAGCGGAATACAGGTCAGGAGTCAGTAGCTGACCATAGATGGTTGCTGTGAAGTTCCCTCTTACTGACCTCAGGCAGGCTCATGGCACACAATACAGTCAGCATCAAAATTAAATCACTTACTGGTGTTGTTTGAATTACCAAGAAAATCGCTGCAAAATTGACATCAATTAGCAGTGAGCAGCTGACTTGTGCCTCTCTAACTTTTTCATCAAATCAAATAGTCTGACCTCCAAGGTCAAAACTCCTCTACTAGCAATTTAGAGACTAATGGTTGAATGGCCTCTAGATATCATTATTACGCTTTAGGTGCCTATGGACACACACGGGCTCCAATCAACTTCTATTCCTGCTTTCTTTAGAGTCAGCAAACTAATGAACATTCCTAAACAAAGCAATTTAAAGACTGGTAGCTACCTGGAACTGATGATCTTTCTGATAACTCCGTTAGGTGCCACCTGAGAAATTCCAGCATCATGGGGCAGATGCCAGGCCCTTGAGTGGGCCGGCGAAGACAGCCACGGGAGAGTTCTCATCAGTCTCCATGCTGTAGGCATCAGGCGTTCTTACGTATGGGTATGGACTCTCAACATCCAAAAGAGGTAAGCATATCTGTCTTCACTTTCCAAAATCAGTTATTTATATGCACGAAGCCACCATTAAGACAATCAGCTATAAATTAATCCCGGTTCATCCAGCCAATAGTACATTACAATACCGTGGATTTGATAATGAATTTGAAGTAACTCAACCTATGCTGTTCAAAATTTTGCTAAATTTAGATGGATTTGACAGCAGGTGCTGATTCACTACCAGGGCAAACCTGCCACTATTGCTTCTGATTAACCATAGAAGAAAATTAGTAAGGTAAATTGTCCAAATGTAAATGGCTGTCCTCCACCATACAGACTCCTCAGCTGACTAAACGTAATCCAGGCATCAGCTCATCATCTGAAGGCCCCTCATCTGTAGAATCATGCATATTGGTTGGGGAAAGGATAGACTGGCGAATGCAGCGGAATTAGAAACCGCTACCAAAGATACTTTGATGTCTGATAAAGGCACTACGAATTTTTGGTCACTGATTATCTCTCCAGTCCTGGGCCCATCACTGCCACTAGCATTAACAGAATCTTATTGTCAAACAAGTGTTTGCCACTAACATGTGTGTCCCTTTCTTCAAGAAGGGCCAAATATAACATAGTATGGTTTTATCTTTTAGGGTCTCACAGAAGATTACCTTTTGTGTGATGTCAGTTTTCAAAGTCATAATGGTTACACTCCTCAGAGATCCTTCTCCTAACTCTAAAGATATTCCAGGCATGGTGATTTGAATGCAGAAGGATGCACATATCCACTGTCAGGTATCCGGTATATGGCATTCACAAGAGCTGGGATGGGTGAAATTCTTTACCTGGGTACCCCCTCCCTCTTCCTACGTGTATTGTTATTCAAGGATTTTAGAAGCTAATGGCAAAATATATTCTGCATCTGGGAGCTAAAATTTAAGTTTTCAATATCTTAACCATGTATTATATTCAGGCTTGGTGCCAAATCCAAAACCAATACAGCCGTTTATGGCTGGTACCATCCCAATGGCTCTTTAACATAATTTGAAGGCTTTTTGTTTTTTGTTGGTTTTATGAGATATCATGATGTTTGAGAAGAGTAGTCAAAGTGTCATGGTGACCTTGTGAGTTTGGTTTTCACGTTTTTTAGCAATATTTAGCAGCATCCATTTGGTGGTGACCTTTGAAAGATAAGGTCATTGTGACATTCATTTGTTATTGCCTGAGATACAGATTATACAGAGATTAGAAGGGTCAGAGTATCGGCGTGGTGACTTTGAAATAAGGTCAAAGTCACCCAAATTGAGTGAATATGTGGCAATTCCATAATGTAGGCTGTCACCAAATTTGAAGACCATGGAGTGCATGGGAATGCTCCAAGCGTTAACAAGAATCTGGACATCACGTGCGTGCCTACCCTGCTGAATACATATGATTAAACATTGTTGCCAAGACCTTGAAGGAAGGAAGCCCTCATTAAATATTTGGTGCCACCTGATACAGTTGAAATGATAGAAAATGGTCTTTGCAGACACATCACAATCCTCTGCTTCCCTCTTCCCCCACATGCTAACTGCTGGTGGGGTGAAATGATGAAACTGGACACACAGTAGAACATGCATTAGTTAGAGAAAATGTACTGTGATGGTCTTCAAGGCCTGGAGAGGATAAGTGCCTGTGCTTCTCCATAAGAGTTGGTGTGAATGGAGAGAATGTTTGGGGATGCTTAGTGCAATGCCTACAATTGTGATGTCTTCAAAACTTTTAGGAATCCATGCTGTGGACATCCTTGTTTTGTTCTTAAAGTTGCTGGTTCCTATATTTTCTTGGCAATTAATAATAGCCTAGAGTAGAAGTCTAAATAATCCATTTCCAGTGGCATTGTAATTGTCGTAATGAACCCCAGTCATGTTGTCTAAAAAAGATGCAGAAACAAATCAACAAGACTGCAGGTTTAATTTATGACAGCTCTGTGGTTATGAAATACCAAACTTGGCCATTTATCAGCACCATACCTCTTGGCTGAAGTTTGTTCTCAGGTATTAGTTTCTGCCTTGATGCCCTCATAGTTGACTCCCTCATGCTCATTGATAAAACAGTGCCCTCCAGGGCGGCTGGGCTCGTGGAATGATCCTTCACAGAATTGATCGCCCTTCTGGTGATGCTTCCTTTCCGAACAGATAAGCATTGGAACCTATTATTTGCAGCCTTAAGTGGCATTTTAGAATGCGGTGTGATGAGGAACACTTTTTTGGATAGACTGCTGCTGTTTGCATTTGGATGTGACATTTGTTGCGATAGATGTGTGAATCCTAACACCATTATCAAACAAATGTGAGTGTTCTGGATCTACATCAGAAATGGCATCCTAAAAGCAACAAAGGTTAATCTATCATAAAAAATGTTCCTCTCCTCCTCAAATATAAGTCAGAATTGAGCAGCTCCTGCAATATCGCTAAATGGTAGTTGGTGCATACTTCCTGACATATGATTCCAGTGCAGGCTTCCAGGAAGGATTTTAGCTTGCGGTGATTTGTAAAATGATTTCCAGGCTGCTTTTGTCTTATATAATTGTAATATATATTCAAATTAACTTGACTCCTCCTTTGGTCTAAGGTATTCAGAGTATACATAAAGCACATAGGGATGCTTTAAAAATCCAAACAGTTTGATGTTGTTCATGGCCCTATAAATGTATGCTGTGCAAATCACATAGCATTGGTTTGTGGTGTTTGCTTAAGGCTAGGTTGCATTTCTCATAGAGTACCTGTTTCCTACAGGGACCTGGGCTTTGAAAACCAAGCAGGTATTGAGACCAGGGTTACATGCATGTTGATGGCTGAGAGTTCCTTGCAGCACCTTCTCAGAAGTCAAGTGCAGTATGCTGATTCCATGGGAGGATCATGAAATGTCTTTTCCAGAATTAAATTAATTTATTAGATCCATGACAGGTGCCATTATTTAAAGCAAATCTTCCTTGTTTCAGAAATGATATTATACAAATTATTAAGTAGATCTGTTTTTCATTTCTGAACATGTTCCTGAAAGCAAGAGCCCTATCATTTGTCAATGCAGCAGGCATTAGACTCTGTCATTTTCACATGTCAGAATCATCACTTTCAGTTTCATCTGCAGAATCAGTTCCTCGGGTCCACCCAAAGGCAAAAATCTTCAGTGGCCATGGATCGCTAGAAGTTCAGACCAAGCTGTTGTCAAAGAAACTGTAGAGTAATTAATGGGCTTCATGTGCATTCCTTCATGTGATCCAATTATGTGCCCTGTGATGCCACTCAAATTCAGCATTACAGGCCATTCATCCTTTGACTTATCCTGCTACAGCCTGCTGCCCTCCCACAGGAACAAGACTTACAAAAGTTCTAGGGTCAGAAAGTCCAGGAGCTGACGTAGTTCCTCCAGGCTGTGGCCACTTGGTCAGCTGGATTGATGTGTGTGGGCCAGGTCAGTTTGCAAGACCCTAGTGGACATGTCCAACCTGGGATTTTAGGCTGGGCTAATTCATTTAAACTGGAACACCTGGACTTTATCCTAATACTACCACACCACGTGGGATGACGAGAATGAATTATAAGTTCTTCCACAGGCAGTT